TTGATGAAGATGTGGGTTTCGCCATGTATAGACAATTTATGAAGATGTTTTTATTGATCAAACGACACATACAGAATGGGACCTTACTGGTAATATTCAGAGGTGTTCAACATTCCATGGGTGGGGTTGCACCTTTCCATCGAGGTTCCCAATTAGAAAAGTCCCAGGTTTGATCTCATCAGAGATGCGATAGGGACCCTCCCAGTTTGGGCCTAATGTGCCTACTCCTGGTTCTTTTGATGACAGAAACACCCTTCTAAGCACTAGATTGTAATATCGTACCATTTTCCTTTGGCAGACGGCCAGCTTAACCTGTGAGGCTTCCATTTTCTCGTCAAGAAAGTCGAGCTCACAATGCCTTATTTCCTCATTTGAGATCTCGTTGAACTGCAGGCATCGAGGCAATGGGAGGCCTACCTCGACCGGGCTCATTGCCTCTGCTCCCTGAACCATGGAGAAAAGGGGTCTTCGGTATCGCCGTCCGGCTGGTAGTGCATATTGCCCATAGCACATGAGAGAGATCGTCCATCCATGCTCCTTTTGATTCATCTAGCTTCTTCTTCAGAAGGTGCTTTATGGTCTTGTTGACTGTTTCAACTTGACCATTTACCTGAGGGTGATGAGGGGGGAAAGTGCTTTTTGATGCCCAGCTCTTCACATAGATCTTGGAGCTTTTTATTATCGAACTGTCACCCATTGTCCGTGACTATTGAGTGGGGAATTCCAAACCAACATATGATATTCCTCCACAGGAATTTTGAAGTGTGCCTCGGTGATTTTAGCCAGGGGCTCGGCCTCAACTCATTTGGTGAAATAATCAATTGTGACAATGGCATAGTTGGAAGCTCCCTTTCCTTTTGGCATGGGCCCTATCAAATCAACCTTTCCATTTTGCAAAGGGCCATGGGCTGGATACCACTGTTAAGTCCTAGGATGGTTGCCTCTGAATTGAGGAAAAACACTAGCACTTGTCACATTTCTTGACGAACTGAAGGACATCCTTTTTCAGGGTTGGCCAGTAGTAACCTTGCCTCAATACTTTATGGGCCAGTGTTAGGCTTTTAGTTTGGTGACCGCATATTTCTTCATAGACTTTCCTCACTACTTAATCTACCTTATCTCCACCTATGCATCTTAAGAGAGGCAACGAGAAGCCCCTTTTATGTAGGACCTTGTCCTTGATCATGTAATGGGTGGCCTTACGCCTGAGTTTACGGGCCTCTTCCTTGTTCTCCGGCAGGGCACCGTCTTGGAGGTAGGTTATGATGGGTCGCATCCAACGAGGGGTGTCTCCGACCCAGATTACTTCTTCCGTTTTGACTGTGGAGGGTCTGGGGAGGTACTCTACAGGGACGATCTTGAGCAATTCTGAGTTCTTGCTGCTTACCAATTTTGAAAGGGCATCCACGTGTAAGTTTTTCAGCCCTCGGGATCTGGTTCAGTTCAAACTTATCAAAGCAGTGAATCATCTCCATCACCTTCTTTAGGTATGTAGCCATGGCTTTGTCTTTGGCTGTAAAATTGCCATTGATTTGACTAATGATGAGCTGTGAGTCGCTCCGAACTTGTATTTCTTTGGCTAACCTGAGGCCTGCTAAGAGCGCCTCATATTCAACCGCGTTGTTGGAGGTTTTTAAACCGAATCGTATTGTGCAGTTGAGCTTGTGGCCTTCCGGGCTTTCTAGCAGGACCTCTGCTCCCGAACCAATTTTTCCAAAGACCCATCTACAAATAACGTCCATACTGGAGGGTATGTTGGTTCCATCTCGACATTGAGGTCTGTCGTCCCCATGAATTCGGCGATGAAATCTGCCACTGCTTGCCCCTTGATCGCGGTCCTGGGTCGGTATGTCATGTCGAACTCACTCAGTTTTATGGCCCATTTCATAAGTCTCCCAGATGCATCTGGTTTTTGGAGCACTTGTTTGAGGGGGAGGCTTGTTAAAACCTGTATACTGTGTGCTAGGAAGTAGGGTCGTAACTTCCTAGAGGCAATCATGAAGAACAAGGTGAGTTTTTCCATATCCGTGTAACTGGTCTCCGCAGGCAGAAGGACTTTGCTAACATAGTATACAGGTAGCTGGGTGTTACCCTCTTCTCGCACAAGCACCAAACTTACGGCGTCGGCACTCACGGCCAAGTATAGCAACAAAATTTTCCATTTTCGTGGCTTGGAGAGGAAGGGGCTTGTCCTAGGTGCTCCTTCAGCCCTTGAAATGCCCTTTCACATTCTTCACTCCAGCAAAACCTTTTTTCTCCCTTCAAGGCTTAGAAGAAATGGAGGCATTTATTAGTCGCCTTAGAGATGAAGCGATTCAATGCTGTGAGGTACCCTGTTAGGCATTGGATTTCTTTTGGCTTACTAGGAGATTTCATGTTTAGTAAAGCCTTGATCTTTTCGGGGTTCATCTTGATGCCTCATTGGTTCACCATGTAGCATGGAATTTTCCAGAAGCAACTCTAAAGGCGCATTTTAACGGATTCAGCTTCATACGGTACTTCCTTAAGATGTCGAAGGTGGCTTGCAGGTGATCGACATGATCGATTGACTTAAGGATTTTCACCAGCATGTCGTCAACGTATACCTCCATCGTTTCCCAGCAAGTTGGAGAACATCTTGTTTACTAACCGTTGGTAAGTTGCACCGATATTCTTCAAACCAAAGGGCATGACCTTGTAGCAATATAGACATCGATCAGTGATGAATGAGGTGTGCTCCTCATCGGCGGGATGTAAGAGGATATGGTTATATCCCGAATAGGTGTCCATGAAACTCAACAGCTCGTGGCCAGTAGTGGAGTCGACCAATTGATCTATCCTTGAGAGCGAAAAGCTATCTTTTGGACATGCTTGGTTGAGGTTGGAGAAGTCTATGCAGACTCTCAATTTGCCATTACTCTTTTTTACCAGCACCGGGTTCGATATCCATTTTGGATACATTGCCTCCCTGATGAACCCGTTCGATATGAGCCTCTGAACTTCTTCTTTTAATGTGACATACCGCTCCGGATTTAAGGCTCTCCTCTTTTGTCTGTGAGGATTGAATTTAGGGTCTACATTGAGCTGGTGGCAACTGAATTTGGGGTCAATCCCCACCATGTCTTCGTGTTTCCAGGTGTAGGCGTTTAAGTTGCTAAGCAAAAAATATTTGATCCTGCCATTTGTTTCCGGCTCGTGGTCTTTTCCTATCTGTAATGACTTCGTGGGGTCGCTTGGGGTTACGGGGAAGGATTCCAGCTCTTCTGCAAGAGTTGCCTATGAATTTGACTCCATAATCCATGGATCCAGGTCTACCTTGATGACCCCTTCTTCAGGGGTGTCTATCATACTGGTGTCTCCTCCTTGTCAGGGGTTAGATCTTCTTCAGGTGCATCAGCCATTTCGGTATCTAACATGACCATATTTATGCTTTTGGGCTCAGATTTTCGTAGGGAGCTAAGGTAGCATTCCCTTGAACTCATCTGGTCGCCTCGCATAGTTGCGATTCCTTCTTCGGTGGGAAATTTCATACAGAGGTGATGTATGGACGTCATCACCTCCAATTCCTTCAAGGCAGGTCGCCCCAAGGCTCCGTGGTAAGCAGATCAGTGGTCCACTATCAAGAACTCCATGAAGTGTTGAGCTCTGAATAGGTATTCTCCCATCTCCATTACCAGTGTGATCTTTCCTCTGAGGACGATGCTGTCCCCAGTAAAATCGTACAAATGGGCAGTCATTGGGGCGAGCTCGTTGTCCACAGCCATCTTATCGAAAGTGGTTCCGAAGAGGTTGTTAACATAGCTTCCATTATCAACTAGCATGTATTTTAAACCATTCCTGGCCACGACAGCTCGCACCATTAGCGCATCGCAGTGGGGATAGTGAACCCCTGCGGTGTCCTATTGGGAGAAGGTGATTGGTTGGCCGCTTCCAGCATTCCTACTGGCACTGCGACGAGGTAATTTGTCAATGGGGGGGTCATTTGCTTTCCTCTCATAGTTCCTTAGAGCTTTTTTGGAACTCTCTCCTATATGTGGGCCGCCAATTATGGTGTCGATCTCCTTGATGGGTGCATTGTCGACAGTGGATGGGGGCTCTCCCCCAGGTCTCCGACTCCTTGCTTTACTCCTCTCTTCATCCTCCCTCCGTGGGGACTTGCTTCGGCGATCCCTTCTTTCTTGATTGTACCGAGGCTCTTGCTAGATGGAGGGGACGTTTGTTTTTTTGCGATAGTTATTTCTATCCGCAGCAGGGGCCCTAGCCGGCTCTCCATGGTATGGCCTGGGGGAGCAATTTTCAGTGCTATGGCCATAGACTTGGTGGTATGTGCAATATGGCCTGTCCCTAGGCTCTTTTCCCCTTCGTAGGTGGAGGGGTTCTAATTTCTCACATATCTCGAGAATAGGGTATTCATGTTGAGGCCCCCTTGTAGTGCGGAAAGGGCCTCTCTGTCAGTGACCTGCTCGCAGTACGTCATTTCATTTGTAAAGCGAGCCAAGTAACTTTTCAAGGTTTCCCCTGCCTGCTGTCTCATGTCCTGTAGTCTTTGGATAGAGGCCTATCCTTCTTTGCTAGATAGGTACTGGTTCAGAAATGCCTTCTTCAGATTTGGCCAACTTCGAATACTGCTAGCTGGAATGCGACTGTACCAGATTTCAACAGCTTCTGTCAAGGT